CCCCACCCGCCGCTCAGGGTGGGGGAGGGGGGGAGGACAATAGGTCCGCCCCCCCTTATTGTAATTTATGTCTTTTTTTTCAACAGTGAGCAGCCATGGGCTGCTCACTGTTTAGTAGACATGCCCCTACTCGCGGTATAGCGAGTAGGGGCATTTGGGAGATTTTAATCTCCCTTGTGCTATTATGGGGGTCATATTGACCCCCATAGAGTGAGAGGGGGACCTGGGGGGGCTTATGAAGTGGTGGGAGCACTGCTCCCTGACGCTTCTATAGTTACATATTACAAGGAGGGAGCTGCATGCCGGTAGCTCCCTCCTTGTAATAAACTGAACGAACAAACTAACACTGATACATAGTGTTAGTTTGTTCGGCTGATATTTCTATTCACTCATTCGTCTGTCTGATGAATGAATGAATAGCTGAAATTCCCGTTCGCATGTCCAGGTGTTTCACTGGGCATGTGCGGGAATCTCAGTGTCTGCCTAGTGTGGGCTGATGACGTGTCCCTGAGGGACTTCATCTACCCACACAAAGATGGCTGCGCCCTGAATCAAGATCGGGGCAGAAAATAAGGATTTAAAAATAGGTAATGTAGGGGGCTTAGGGGCATTTGGGGGTGACTAGTGGGTCAGTTAGAGATAGTGGAGGCCGGAGGGGGGTTAAAAAAAAAACGGGATTCGGCATGACAGTGCCGCTTTAATAAAGAATCTATTTTGTGGGGAAAAAAATGCATCTACTTACATATAGGGGTAATAGTTTGTATATGTGTGAGTCTACAATACAGAGATGTTGGTTGGTCCTTGTGCCACTTTGAGGGACACTCCACTGCCCAAATGCAAAATAAATTAATAAAAACCACTGATTAGTAGATGTACCAGAAATGAAAACTTGATCACTTGTCTGAAGCATTTGCAAACCCACTCTTCTAGCCTCACCCAGTCTTTCTATGGCTGTCCAATCATAGACTTCCCAATGTAGCAGAGAGAGAGAGAGAGAGATATAATGCAATGCAGCTGCTCTGGGCAATTCCTGCCTCTTGAGTTTAGTTCCACTGAGCTAATCAAACCAGTAAGTCATATGGCTGGCTATCTGCTTGACAACCAGGGGGTGTAGCCAGGTTAATTTATAAAAGTGTCAATTTCTATTGGAATCTGCACTGTTGTAAAATGAAAGAGGATACACCGTTTCAATAACATTAGGGGTCTGGAGTGTTCCCATAACTTATATGACACGCGCACACACATGTGTCTACATCATACTTAAAGAAAGCCTTGGTTAAATCTACTTATAAATTCAATTACATGTATATTTCAAATAGCAATAGTATCTGACAAGTTATTAATGTTCTTTTCATCCACCACAGAAACCAGGTGCTACTTTACCATTTCTAATATCTTTTTATTGTGTAATATTATATCATCATGTGTGCCTTTTGTGTCATTTTTCAATATTTGAACTTTATTTGTCAATCTATGTTTTATTGAGGCATTAGTACGTTCACTACAGAAATGAGAAAAATGAGTTAGAGCCCATGTTGACATGACATGACTGCAGTGGTTGTATAAATGGTACTAAACTCCTTAAAAAATACAGCCTCTTAAATAAATCTGGTATGCCTTCTGAGTCAGCCCACGCCATACTAATGCTGGGTCTCAGGGTGGGTGCCCAAGAGGAAAATCAGCTGATCTTTGCCAGAGACAAGACTGAATTGGGTAGGGGTAAATCCAGGAAAGGAGTCTATGCAGGGCAAGGTACTTCTTAGACCCCAGGGTTGTATAAGGGCCTGCATCTGTATTTCACGGACTCGGGAACCTCGAGGGGGTAAGCAGAGGGTCCGCGTGGTGAGCACTGTTTCGTGCAGGTATTTCTCTGCTTCTGTGGGTGATACATGAGGGCAAAGCTGTGAGGGGCTCTCAACCCAGGTGGGCAAACTGTAGGGTACATACATGCTCGTATGTACCCTACAGTTTGCTCCACATTAGCAGGACATCTCCTCCCTGTCCTTTGGTTGCTTGGTAACGCTCCTGCAGTGTTTGCCAAAAGTGTTCAAGGATTGCATCCAGGCTCCGCGTGACAGCGCAGCTATGGCACATCAAGGCCTGTGGCGCGGAGGTAGGCCCAATGTGTCTGGAACGGGACCAGCTGCCATCTTGCGTGTGCAGTGTGGGTGGATTTCCATCTGAGGGCACTTCAATTTACCAGGTAAGGACGTGGTGAGCAGCCTCAGAGTGTCCAGTTTGGACCAGGATATCTCCTGCCGGTCTGGGGGGGTAGGAGTGCAGCGATATCGAGATTCTGAGAGCTAGCTCTGTCCCCAACAGGCTGCAGCAGAGTATCTCGGGTTCTCAGTAGGTTGCAGGAACGTGGTAAGTTGAGGAGTGAGCACCGAAGAACCCCTCACAAGATGGGAGTCTTGCAGACAGTGTGGCTGCTGTGTATAAAGCATTTCAGAGTGCAGGAGCTCGAGTGAAACACATCCACTCTGCATGGAAGTCAGATTCCGCCCCCTATTTGAAGTTTATTTAACACATTTTACATGTTTAAAAAAAAAAGTTTAACCCCTTAAGGACACATGACATGTGTGACATGTCATGATTTCATTTTATTCCAGAAGTTTGGTCCTTAAGGGGTTAAAATACAGATTTTATTTTAGTTGCAAAAATCTTTGTAAGCATTGTTTTTACCAGCGAGGTAAAATATCTTACACTGCAAAAACTGTTTATGTAAACGTTAGGTGGCCTTCCGAACTATTCAGATTTAGACCTCATAGGCATCCTATTGATCTACTTTAAGATTAACTTTTTTTTTTGTTTCTTCTTTCAGTTTTCCCAACCACTAGAAATGACACAGACTGTATCACATAAATCCAAGGTCATGTTTTTATTAACAACAATGTTTTTTTTGTTGTTGTTTTAAAAAAATACGGCAAAGCACACGTCATATTCAATCTCAAGTGTGACATAAAACAGATGTCTATAAGAGCAATAATAATTTAACTTTGCCGCCCAGTGTTTGTGGTTTACACAATGTCTTGCTACTTGGCCATCCTAAGCTAACGATCTATGAAACAAACTGTTCACAATTAGGGTTCTGCTCAACTCAGATATCTCGTATGAAGCATTCAAGCATACAGAATGAGTACCAAGCCCCAATTACAAAGAGGGTGAACCATTCCCCAACAGAAAATCCTGTGTATGCTTGCAAGCCAACTTAATGTTTAATATTTACTTTAATATTAATCAAAACCAACATGAGACAGTGAAATATGGCTTTGTCAAATTATGGGAGTTTCACACCACACTGTACTCCTCAAATGCCAACTGGATATCTAGAGGGAGTTTTGTAAGAGAAAATGATACTACAATATAATGTTATACGGCAGATATCAGTAAGAAAAGCTCCATGCATCTTATAATGAGCTGCCGTGCTGTATCCTGACACAAAAAAGAAGTGAAACAAGAGAAGGGAACGTCAGCATATCAACATCTGGTCAGTAACTGGCTGAAAGGGGAAGTTGACAGTCAACTTAAGCTAAATTGTAGTTACAATCTGAGGGAAACCGGGTCGGTTGATATTATGCACCAATGTTTAATGATTACTATATTCTGATGATTACTATAGAAAAACCTATAACTATGCATATATTGATATTGAGAACACCATACTGATGCACTAGCTATACACACCACTAAGGCACATTGTCTCTAGTGACTAATGTAGAAAATCACAGAAATCCAGTTAGGCGTGGGTTGCTGTAAATGCCCAATGGCAGTTAGCTTGGAGAAACTATTATACTTTTTTCAATATACCATACTGCCCACTTTAGTAATAAACCTTGCTATATTGCTCCATTTTTTTTGGTTACAAAAGCCTGGGTCACCATACTGTGGCTGTCCATGCTTCCTGGATTGGTGATCTTGCTTCAGTCACTGAGTAAGGTGACACTCCACTGCACTTGTGATACAGGAAGCCCCTATAAAAGCTATGAACGCTCTCAGTCCAGTGCTCAGTTATTCTGAAGCTTCGGCTAAGGTTACTTGGTGTGCTGCTGAACCTGACCCTGTCCCTGCTCTGCATCCCTGCTCATTGGTCCTAGCATACTTCCAGCATCATTGGATCTCCTGACCACTTGGACTTGACTATGTTTATCTATTTATGAACCTTTGATGCCTTGGACTGTCTGACCTTGGACTGTCACATTGTTCATTTCTCTTTATTATTATCATTATTATTATTATTAATTGGTATTTATATAGTGCCAGCTAATTCCGCAGCGCTTTGCAATATTATGACACAAGTACACAGTGACACAGGAACAATAGGTAGATGAGGGCTCTGCTCAAACAAACTTTTAGTCTAAACTAATAAACCCTCATGTCACCACAGGCCTACTAGGATCCTGTGTTCACTCTGCAACTGGGTGCCTCCATCTTAGCTCTCTCTCACTCACTATTATAAGCTCTGTCCTTTGCACCTGGCAGTCAGTGTAGAGAACACAGACACAGAAAAGGGGAAATTAAACGATGGGTGGCATTTATCAAAGTGTCCTGAAAAATGACTGATAAATTCTGTCATTGTTTTAAAAGTATTCTAAAAGTGATCTAAAAAGTGTCGGTTTTCTTGATTAGTAAATTCTGTAAGTTTTGGCGGAAATTTCCATTTGTAGAAGTTGATCAAATTTCGAGTGGCAGGAAAAACAGATGTGAAATATGGCAGAAAAAAATCATGAATCGGTTGTGTCCCCCAAAAAAGTAAAAAACGTTCATTGAAAGTTAACAGTGAGCAAAAAAAGCAACAAGTAAAAAATTATCTGGCAGATTTAGAAATCTGGACTAACATTTTGCAGAAGATTAGACGTAACATAGAAACATAGAATGTGACGGCAGATAAGAACCATTCGGCCCATCTAGTCTGCCCAATTTTCTAAATACTTTCATTAGTCCCTGGCCTTATCTTATAGTTAGGATAGCCTTATGCCTATCCCACGCATGCTTAAACTCCTTTACTGTGTTAACCTCTACCACTTCAGCTGGAAGGCTATTCCATGCATCCACTACCCTCTCAGTAAAGTAATACTTCCTGATATTATTTTTAAACCTTTGTCCCTCTAATTTAAGACTATGTCCTCTTGTTGTGGTAGTTTTTCTTCTTTTAAATATAGTCTCCTCCTTTACTGTGTTGATTCCCTTTATGTATTTAAATGTTTCTATCATATCCCCCTGTCTCGTCTTTCCTCCAAGCTATACATGTTAAGATCCTTTAACCTTTCCTTGTAAGATTTATCCTGCAATCCATGAACCAGTTTAGTACCCCTTCTCTGAGTTCAACAGAGCTTCACAGGTTGCCACTGGAGTCCTCTTCCACTCCTCCATGACGACAACACGGTGCTGGTGGATGTTAGAGACCTTACGCTCCCCCACCTTCCATTTGAGGATGCCCCACAGATGCTCAATAGGGTTTAGGTCTGGAGATATGCTTGGCCAGTCCATCACCTTTACCTTCAGCTTCTTTAGCTGTCTCATCCCCCCCTGTCTCATCTTTCCTCCAAGCTATACATGTTAAGATCCTTTAACCTTTCCTGGTAAGTTTTATCCCGCAATCCATGAACCAGTTTAGTAGCCCTTCCCTGAACCCTCTCTAAGGTATCAATATCCTTCTGAAGATACGGTCTCCAGTACTGTGTACAATACTCCAAGTGAG